CCAAAAATTTTTTGCACTAAAATAAATGTCTATTAATTCCATTTTTCTGTGATCTTTTTGAAGTACCTTCATATCTATACAGTGTGTGAACTGTCTTGGTGACTGTGACAAATCACACTGTAGAAAAATATCAGTGTGAAATATTTATATCATGCAACATTAAAAGGTCATAGAACAGCGTGATTCCAAATGTTAATAGCACTTATTCCTGTGTGATCAGATTGTGATTTTTTATTTCCTTTGTTTGCTCTTTTATGTTTCTTAAATTTCCATCAGTGAACCTGTAGTTCTTTTGTAATCAGGAAAATGAAGACTTATTTAAAAAAAATAAAGCAAGGTGATAAGGAAAGGTATTCCTATTGCAACTTCAGCCCAGATTGCTTCTCTAAGTCAGGAGTCATTTTATTAACAAGGATCACAAAAGTTCAGGATTATTAAGACTATAGCTCAGTATACCATCCATATCCCCAGATCTAGTGTCTGCACACCTGGGTTTAAAGTGTCTCTTTTAAGCTGCATTGCCTAAGGCATTTCCAGAAGGAATCCTGTTAAATGAAAAAATAAGACCTTTCATGACTGATGCTGAACCATTTCTGTTACCACTTCAAACACTCTCTGACTTAATCTCCAGAGAACAGCCCTCGCAGATAAATTGTCCACCACCACATCTAGTTCTTGGCTTGTTTTTAAAAGTCTACAGATTCTTTCATGGGGTCATATTTTTAAGTTTAAATATCTACTTTGCTTTGAAAAGCTATTTTCTCCCTTTTCAAAAAGAGCATACTAGGAGTTAAAATTGGATCACTTTTTGCAAGCTGCACCATACATCTGGAGTGAATTCTAGAGTATTAATGTCATGCTATGTTACAGCAAGAATTGTCAAGTCTAATTTTTGCAGACCTGCTAAATCTGAAAGGGCAGTCTGGGCAGGCAGTGGTTTTGATCCCTGAGCTAGGTGTGTTTCTTAAAGTCAGAGGGGCGAAGCGAAAGAGCCTGCATCGTGGTCCTGCCTGCATAGCAACATGACAGAGATAGGAAACATCTTCATCATCTATTCTGTAGGCTCTTTTTTTAATATAAAGTTTATTTATCTATTTGAAAGGCAGAGTTACAGAGAGGCAGAGAGAGAGAGAGGTCTTCTATCCACTGGTTCACTCCCCAGATGGCTGCAACAGCCGGAGCTGTACCGATCCGAAGCCAGGAGCCTCCTCCTGGTCTCCCATGAGGGTGCAGGGGCCCAAGGTCCTGGACCATCTTCTACTGCTTTCCCAGGCCATAGCAGAGAGCTGGGTCAGAAGTGGAACAGCTGGGACTCGAACCGGCGCCCATACGGGATGCCAGTACCACAGGCGGCAGCCTTACCCAGTATGCCACAGTACCGGTCCCTGTAGGCTCTTATAACTAAGATAGAATTGGAAGAAGCATGAGGTGTGTTGAGCGCAGATGCTTACCCAGTACTGAAAATTCTTCTTCATATTTCTAGACAGACAGTATCTTCTACCTATTGGGGTACTTATAGTTATACTTTAATTAATGAGTGATATCAATGAGTAAAATTCTGATTTTTGTAAATTGATCAGAATATATTTAATACTTACTATAGTTAATGCTAAATTCATATAGATTTGGGATTTCTCTATGAAATGATGTTTGATAATATTCAGTTTCCTTAATAGTTATAAGGTTATTTGCATTTTTTTGTTTCATTGTACATCTACTTTTTTATTTTATTTTTTTTTTTTTGGCAGACAGAGTGGACAGTGAGAGAGAGAGACAGAGAGAAAGGTCTTCCTTTTTGCCATTGGTTCACCCTCCAATGGCCGCCGCGGACAGCGCGCTGTGGCCGGCGCACCGCGCTGCCGATGGCAGGAGCCAGGTACTTCTCCTGGTCTCCCATGGGGTGCAGGGCCCAAGCACTTGGGCCATCCTCCACTGCACTCCCTGGCCACAGCAGAGAGCTGGCCTGGAAGAGGGGCAACCGGGACAGAATCCGGTGCCCCGACCGGGACTAGAACCCGGTGTGCCGGCGCCACAGGGCGGAGGATTAGCCTAGTGAGCCACGGCGCCAGCCTCATTGAGCATATACTTTTAAAATTTTTGTTTTTCAAGGACTATATCCTCTTCATTTAACTTGTCAAGTTTCCTGGCTTAACAGTTTTCATAATAGACTCTTTAATATAAGTGCTATAGCGTTATTGTAATATATTGTCTTTCATTGCCATTTATAATTTATATTCTTTCTCTTGATCAATCTCAATAGCAGTTTATCAATTTTATTGATCTTCTCAAAGAACAAATTCTTGGATTTTTAAATTTTCTTTCTTGTTTTATTTGATTTCTGTTTATTTCAGTGCCTTATTATTTCTTTTACTTAGTTGGTTTTACTTTGATCTTTTTCTAGTTTCTTAAGTTAGAAATTTGAGTCCTTTATTTTAAGCCTTTCCTCATTTCCACTCTAAACCTATAAATTTCTTTCTAACCTTGTTCAGCTACATTTTACAAATTTCTTTAAATACTTTTTGAGGTAATAATTGATATAAAATAGACTAGTCTATAAAGTAACATCTATTAATCCATCACCATCAAAAATGGACTCAATTCCTCTCTCCTGTTCCTAGCAGTCACTGACTAGCTTCATCTCAACAGAACTATTTTCATTTTCTAGAACTTTAAATGAAAAAAAATCTATCCTTTTTTTTTTTATTTCTTTCACGCAACTGATTGTTTGAAATTCATCCATATTGTCTCAAGTGTTTGTTCCTAAGTAGTGTTTTATTTTATGGATATGCCATAATTTATCATTTTACCTGTTGTGGACCTTTGGATTTTTCTTTTTTCTTTTTTCTTTTTTTTTTTTCTTTTTGACAGGCAGAGTTAGACAGTGAGAGAGAGAGAGAGACAGAGAGAAAGGTCTTCCTTCTGTTGGTTCACCCCCTCAAAAGGCAGCTGTGGCCAGCGGGCTGTGCCGATCCGAAGCCAGGAGCCAGGTGCTTCCTCCTGGTCTCCCATGCAGGTGCAGGGCCCAAGCCCTTGGGCCATCCTCCACTGCACTCCCAGGCCACAGCAGAGAGCTGGACTGGAAGAGGGGCAACTGGGACAGAACCAGCGCCCCAACCGGGACTAGAACCCAGGGTGCCCACGCAGGTGGAGGATTAGCCTAGTAAGCCACAGCGCCGGCCAACCTTTGAATTTTTCTAGTTTTGGCTATTACAGATAAAGCTGTAAGGAAGATGTACATACAAGTCTTTGTGTAGACATACACTTCGGTCTCCTTTGGGAAATCCCCAGCAGTGAAATGGGTGCTTGCATGATACATGCATGTTTATCATTTTAAGAAACTTCCAAGCTGTTGTTCAAAGTGCTTCTATTTAACTTTTCCATCAGCAATATATGAGGGTTCCAGTTCCTTCATATCCATGATATAGTCAATCTTTCTAGTTTTGGCTGTTCTAATATATGCATAGTGATATCTCATTGAGGTTCTAGTTTGCCTTTCCTGAATGGCCAGTGATGTTGTGTGTCCTCTCATGTGCTTATTGGCCATCTGTGTAAATTCTTTGGAGAAATATCTATTCAAGTCCTTTGCTCATTTTTAAAAACTTATTTTTATTTGTTTGAGAGACAGAGAGAGCAAGTGAGTATGCACAAGAAAGCGTTCCCACCCATTGGTTCACTCCTCAGATGCCCACAACAGAGGGGCTGAGTGTGCGTGTGCGTGGCCGGAATCCAACTACTTGAGCCGTCTCCACTGCCCCTAGACTCCACTTTAGCAGGAAGCTGGAGCCCAAGAATCGAACGTGGGTCCTCCAGTATGGGACACAGGCATCCAAACCCTCATCTGTTGAATTTGGTGTCGTAGTATTTTGTTGAGAATTTTTGTGTCAATTCATAAGACATATTAGTCTCTAGTTTTCTGGTGGTTTCTTTGTCTGGCTTTGATATCAGTTTGATGCAGATGCATAGAGTGAATTGGTATGTATTTCCTCCTTTTTTAATTTTTTCGAAGTTGAGAAGGATTGATATTCCTTTAAAAAAAAAAAAACTTGGTTGGATTCAGCAGTGAGACCGTCTGATCCTGGGCTTTTCTTCATTGGAGTGTTTTTGTTTGCTTGTTTTTTTTTGTTTGTTTGTTTGTTTGTTTTTTTATTACTGATTCAATCTCTTTACTAGTTATAGGCCTTTTCAAACTTTCTGTTTCTTCATGATTCAGTCTTGGTAGGCTGTGTGTTTCTAAGATGTAACTTTCTTTTGATTTCTTCTTTGACCTATAAATATCCTACTTCATTTCCAAATATCTGGGAATTTTTTCAGAGACGGATTGTACACTTGAAAAGAATATGCATTCTGTTTTTGCTTTTGCTGAAATCGAGTGCTGTCATGGCATACCTTTCCTCTTCTATTCCTTTTAGCCTACTTGTGCCATTATATTTACAGTGCAAGTCTTTAGGCAGCATGTGGTTGGGTCCTGCTCATTTATCTAATCTGACAGTCTATCCCCTTCAAACATGTGAAGATACTCCTGAACTGTCAGCCTTTCTTTCTTGGACTAAATCTTGCTTTATTACGATTTGGCTGATGCTTTTCCTAAATCCTTCGCTGTTATTGTCAAACTTCTCCGTGCTTGCTGTGATTTAAAGGGATATTACATTATAAAGGGCACTCAGGGTTGACCTCCGCAAGAACTGCTGACTGTTGCTTACTGCTTCAGTTGATCAGCGCTGCTCCCACAGATCTTTAACGGATCTCCTAAGTTCCTCCCCATCTTCTTAAAATTTTGGACCATTTTTCTTAGCCTAATTATATTTTTATCTTGGCTAACTACTGACTTTTTGATCTCCAGGAAAACATTGAGGATATTTAGCATAAAGTCTATTAATTGTTCATCTTAAATGTCTGTTTTATCTCAGTTATACCAATCCTAATTGAATTATTTTGAATGTGGGTCAAATAAAACTAGACTACAACTAAAAGGGAAGTGAAACCTTTGCCTTTTTTTCCAGGTAAAAATGTCGCCATCATATCATCCATCCAAAGAGGATCCTGCTGTGAAGAAGGTGAGTGAGTTCTAAAGGCAAAACACAATGCCGCCTCCTGTGCATTTATTTTCCCTCGGGGAGCAGTTTTCTCAAAATGGCAATGACTTTTAATCATCTTAATTCCATCAAAGCATCTTTCCAGTGGGGTGCTTTAATTACATCTTCTCTTTCAGAGAAGGCAGGGGGAGCTTGGGGCCCAGCGTCAGTCTGAGTTCCGGAGCACCACGCTCTGCCCCAGGCCAGGCGTCCGGGTGTCAGCAGTGGGAGGAGGTGAAAAATACACCAGGAGGAAAGCTGTAGAGTTTGGCTTAATAGTGGGCTTTCCCTGTAGACAGCTGTTCCTTAAAAAACTGGCCTGAGATACTAACATTTCAGCACATACCCTGTAAGAAGGGCCTTGCTGAATGCTGGTGGTTCCTGACAGTGAAGACTGTGGCCCGGCTGGGGTGCAAGTCTCAGCTGGGCCACGGAAAGCCTTTCTTTACCCGGGTGAAGCCTGGTAAGCAGGAGGCCGTTTTTGCTGCGCTCTTTTGCTATTTTTTCTTTCTCAGATGGATGAAATGTTCCATTTCTTTGCCCTTTTTAAAAAACCACTTCAGCCTGCACCCAGGTCAGCAAAGGACTGTAGACCAGAAATAACAACTTGCCAGCTCTGTTGACTAACAGTGGGTTTTAGCTTCGAAGCAATGTGCCAAAAATGGGTCCCTTTTCACTATCTGCAGAATCTGAGACTTTCTCAAAAGAAGGAAGAATAGGAACAAATTGTGCCACCTGCAAAGCCCTGTGGCATGCTGCACATGAAGTTCTCTTAACTCTTGTGAAGGCAGCAAGGGCAGATGAGACTGACGGAGGCAGTGACTGCTGTCCTCGGAACCATCACACTAGAACCGGAGGAACTGGAAGGAGCCCGAGTCGGAGAAAAATGCACTGCAGAGGGAGTTGTTTTAGTCTAAACTTCCCGGTGTTAGCTCTGGGCCCACTTCTAAGTAGTGATTTAAAATATGCTTCAGGGCCGGCGCCCCAGCTCACTAGGCTAATCCTCCGCCTGCAGTGCCGGCACCCTGGGTTCTAGTCCCAGTTGGGGCGCCAGTTCTGTCCCGGTTGCTCCTCTTCCAGTCCAGCTCTCTGCTCTGGCCCGGGAAGGGAAGGCAGTGGAGGATGGCCTAAGTGCTTGGGCCCTGCACCTGCATGGGAGACCAGGAGGAAGCGCCTGGCTCCTGGCTTCGGATCATCGCTGCGCGCCAGCCATGGCGGCCATTTGGGGCGTGAACCAATGACAAAAGAAGACTTTTCTCTCTGTCTCTCTCACTGTCTAACTCTGCCTGTCAAAAAAACAGAAAGACAACTTGCTTCAGGCGCAGGCATGCAGGCATGTAGCCTTGCAGTTAGATGTCCATGTCATGTATCAAAGTGCCAGGATTTGATGCCATTTGTACTCCTGACTCCAGCATCCTGCTAATGCACAGCATGGGAGACAGTGGGATGGCTCAAATGATTGGGTCCCTGCCACCCACATGGGAGATCTGGAGTGAGTTCCTGGCTCCTGGCTTCAGCCCCAGATGAGGCAGAGCTCATTCAGGCATTTGGAGAGTGAAAATGATAGGAACTCACTCACACTCTCCCCCCCCCACTCCCTCTCTCTCCCCCTCCCCCTTTCTCCCCCTCTCCCTCTCTCCCTCTCCGTCTCAGGAAGGAAGGCAAGAAGGTTGGTTTTTAATAATAGAGCATCCACTTGGGATGCCCACATTCCACATCAGAGTGTTGGTTGGAGTCCAAGTAGTCTGAGTATCAAAGCTACTCTGCTTCTGAGCCAGCTTCCTGCTGATGTGCGCCCTGGAGACAGCAGATGATGGCTCCAGTACTCGGGTCCCTGCCACCCACATGGGAGAGCCAGATGGAGTTCTGGATCCTTGGCTTTGGCCTGGTGCAGCTCTGGCAATTGGGGGCATTTGGGGAGTGAAACCAGTGGACGGAAGATCGATCTCAATATTTCTTTCCCCCTCTCTCTGTCTCTCTGCCTTTCAGGTAGATGAAAATAAGTAAATAAGCATTTTTTTTAAAATGCTTGTGTATACAGCAAGATTTGGGCCCAAAGATGTACTCTCTACTTATTTATCTGAATGACCTTGAATAAAACAGCTCTTCTATTTCTACTCACACAAAATGGTGATGCTACCTCTCACAGCTGTCCTGCAGATTGAATGAAAGCTATTGACCCGCCTAACACAGTGTATAATGCATAGTAAGCACTCCGGCTGCTGGTGACACAGGTTTCCTGACTCCTGAACCCAACCTCTCACTCTATCTTGCTACTTGTATATTGTTGTTCAAAACCACACACATTTCTTTATACTCCATACTGAGCAAAGCAGCAGGCTACAGAGATGAAAAGTATAGTCCTTGTTCTTATGGACCTCAGCGTTTAGTGGGAAAGGTAGGCAGGTAACCTGATGATCACTGTACTGCTTGATGGGTACCGTGCGTGGTGGACAGGCTGGCGTGAGAGCACTGGGGAGATCCTGAACTTGTTCATGTACTTTTATAGTCAGTGTGGTGAGGAGCCCAGTGGAGAACTTTGAGGAATGGTGAACTGCTCCCCTGCATCCTTGTTATCAGGTTAAAAGCAAATTCTGCCCCACACAGACAGTTGTTAAATAAGCACTAATCTCAAAATAAATAAATGAACACTATCTTCAGATAAATTCCTTATTGTTTGCACTGCTTCAGCAGCACTCTGAAAGAGATTCACATCAAGATCATAGTGAAACTCAGTAATATTTTCTTAGCCAGGTGTGTGTGTGTGTGTGTGTGTGTGTGTGTGAGTGTATGGGTGGCTGCATATATGATAGGTCCTCAGAAAGTTCATGGAAAAATGTAAGTTGTGCAATTATGCAGATTTCAAATTTTTGTATCAAAATAAACTTAGCCTTTCTTTTCCTTTTTCCACGAACTTTTTGAAGCATTCTGGTTCTTGTCCTTGAGCTGTAATCTCTCTTCCCAAAGTTGTGCTGACAGATGGAAGCAGCAGTCATGTCTGTTGAATGGTGACTGCCAAAGTGACGTGTGTGAGAAGCACAAAGGAAGCAGTAGCGTTCCTGATTTAGCCAGAGTCTTGTTGGCCGATTGCTGAGGGAAGTGTTTGGTGACTCTGCCCACAGCGTCGGCCCTGCCAGGAGCCTGGGTTCTATGCAAATGGGAGCACGTTCTGTAGGGCTCTGCTAACTTGCTGGGACAGGGCGTCTCAGTTCCAGGGTACCTGTTCCAGGATGCCTGTCTTTTCACAGGCATCTTGCATTTGAGATACTCTTTACAAAAGCTCTTGGGTAGAGATTTAAAAACAAAACAAAACAAAAAAATCCTATCAGCTATTTTAGTTTATTTATTTGGAAAACAGAAAGATAAGAGAGAAAGATCTTCCATCTGCTGATTGATTCCCCCAAAAACCTGCAACAGCCAGGACTGAGCCAGTCTGAAGCCAGGAACCAGGATCCCACATGTGTGGCAGGGACCCAACTGCTTGAGCCGTCACCTGCTGCCTTCCGGGGTCTGCATTGGCAGGAACCTGGAATCCCAAGCAGAGCTGTGACTCAAATGCAGGCACTTCAGTATGGGATGCAGGTGTCCCAAATGGTATCTTACCACCTGCACCAAACTCTCACCCTTAGAAATATTTATTGTACAAATGTATATAGTATATAAAATCTGTGTGTAATATTTTTTAAAGTTTCTAACTATAGAATTTCCATTTCATCCTTTAAAAAAAAAGATTTTATTTATTTATTTGAGAGGTAGAGTTACAGACAGTGAGAGTGAGAGAGAGACAGAGAGAAAGGTCTTCCTTCCATTGGTTCACTCCCCCAAATGGCCGCAACAGCCGGATCTGTGCAGATCCAAAGCCAGGAGCCAAGAGCTTCTTCCTGGTCTCCCACATGGGTGCAGGGGCCCAAGCACTTGGACCATCTTCTACTGCTTTCCCAGACCATAGCAGAGAGCTGAATTGGAAGAGGAGTAGCCAGGACTAGAACTGGCACCCATATGGGATGTCAGCACCACAGGCGGAGGATTAACCTACTGCACCACGGCACCGGCCCCAACATTTATTTTATATAATGGGCTCTAACTGATGAATACCGTAGCTGGAACAAACATTTGCTTTCCTGGACCTTTTCAGTGTTTGAGCTTAGGTAAATCGAGGAACATTGCCCACTGATATAAAAGCCCACTATAGTGAACTCCCTGGAATAGATGCAGATTAGGGAGTTTTGAGAGTTCATTGAAGGCAACATCAAACCCACTTGGCTGGGATGCGTCTCTCCTTGACGACTAAGGAAATCCCTGCCAGGAATTCTTGTAGCAACGCTGGCTCTGTCACATGCATGACTGCCAGAGAAAGCACTTTGTTTTATATCTGGGTCGGTGGTATGTGCAGGAGCCTGAGGGGCCTGGTGCCCTGCTGGAGACTCTTGTCAGGCTGGTGGCACTGCTGAGCACCCACAGCTGAGCCTCCCCTCCGATGCCTCCTTCCATTGAGGGCCAAAGCCCTGGAAGGAGAGAGGGAGAAGCCCCCTGGACATTCTGTGATTCCATTCAGTCTAGCATTGCCTCTGGTAGATCCAGGCTTTGGAGAAACTCAGCTCAGTGAAGTACAGTCTGTGCTCTCAGCACATGCGCAAGTTCATGGTGGCCAAACTGGTAGATTTAATAGCCAGGGCTCCCAGAAATTGGTTAACAGTTTCTCAGGTAGCCTTATATGTGAGGCTGATTTTTTGTTGTTCTAGGAAGTCGGGCTTTTGTAGCCCAGTTGCCAGTCTCGCCACTCATGTCAAGAATGTAGACAACTGCACTTGCTCATGATTTTCTTGGTTTTTGGATTGGAAGTTCTTTTAAGGAAGAAAGCCTCACAGAGCCACTGTTTCCATAACAACAGAAAAGCTGACTTCAGGGTCTCAGCTGGCTGGCTCCAAGAATGACTGGCTGATAGTTTCACAGAAGTCAGGGGAAGCATGAAATGAAGCAAG